TTTTTTTTTTTAGTATTACTTCACTGTTCTCTTGTTGGGAAAATAAGAGAAATTAAGCAGACTTCAGAAGATTAAGTCTGGAAATGTCAGGCGAGTGATTTAGGACCCTCTGTTCTGTTGCACATCATCAGTACCCTCTTTCAGGTAGATAAATCCATCCAGCAGCACCATCTCAGCAGTTTTAAGATAATGAGAGACAGTGATCAAAGGCAAGCAACCTTTGGGATGAGCGTATTTAGCTGTATGTTTGCAGAAGCTTAAAATTTGCCAAATCAGAAGCCATTTGCTCAGATACAAGAGCTATAGCAAGCAAACTCTGGCCAGAAATTGCTCATGATGATTACAAAAAAAATCTAATATCTTCTATCTCTTTGTTTTGAATGTTGTTCAAATGTTAAAGTGCAAGGCCCTTGCAAAGGAAAATATTTTCGAAGTCCTTAGTTTTCCTATTGGTCGCTTTTGATACAGCTTGTTTCTAAAACAGTGGTAGCAACAGACATGGCCATTATTAGAAAATAATTATCAAGTGCACATACAACAGGTACACACATAGATCTGGAATATTCGCAGGCCACTTGGTTCCCATTTTGGAGGGAGACGTGTTTGATTCGGCAGGAATGGGTGTTCAGGCACAGTGCTGAACACCACGTGCTTTTCAGATCCATTGCTCGAGCAGCTGGCACCAGCACAATTGCAACTGTCCCACATGTGGGAAAGAAAATATCTGCAGCCTAATGACCAAAGTAGGATAAGCAAATTGTAAAGATGCTAAAGCCATTCAATTCATTTTGAATTATTACTGGAGAAGAGTCTCCCTGTGAGCAAAGATTCACATACTGCTTGGAACAACCTAAATCTGATATTCACACTGAACCAAGCCCACCCTTGTCAGAAATACTATGTTTTGGTTGCCTCCATTTCTAAGCTGGCAGCTCACAAGCTTGTGGTAGTGGGTTTTTATGGAGGCTGAGAATTTTTTTTACCACAAACTTTCACAGGAGTCAAGTCATGCAGGATCCTGATGAAAAAACTGCACTTTTAAAACCTACATATAGTTATCTATAATGTGATGCATTTCAAAGGGACCACAACCTATGTTGTTACCTTGCACAGATTGTAACTACCTAGTATTTTTTTTTAATGCAATTCAATATTCCCTTCTGTAGATGGATTGGATGCCTTTACGAAGTTTCTGAAAACTGAATTCAGTGAGGAGAACATCGAGTTCTGGATAGCTTGTGAGGATTACAAGAAAAGCAAAACTACACATGAACTTATCCCAAAAGCTAAGAGCATTTATGAAACATTCATACAGAAAGATGCACCAAAAGAGGTACAGTAAAAAAAAAAAAAAAAAAAAAAAAAAAAAAAAGAAAGAAATTTTCAGGAAAGACAGTGTTTGACACAAACCACATCTGATGCGACCTGCTTTTAGGAGTATATGCCCAGAAGAAGTGACAACAATTAATCATGTTACCGCTGACACAGAAGGCTGTATCCCAAATATCAAATCTTCAGAAGAAAGTCTGGAAGCTGCTGCACAGATATTTTCCCTTTCCTCCAGAGTCCTTTTAATATCCCCCTGTATTATTAAGTAAAAAAAGAGCATGAGTTTAAATATTACGCCATAGGATTCAAAGATTCTGAGTGGTTTATAATGCCAGGAAGTATATTTAAATATACAGAGTATATTTAAGGAAATACCGTCAAGCTAAATATTAATGCTGCAATGCAACATATCAGCCGGTGCTTGTAGAAACATATTGCGTATCTGTCTTTAGAGATACTCCAGGAAAGCAGAATAGTTCTCTCATTCTCTTAACCTGTAATTATATATTACACCAATAAAAGCTCCTGAATCTTTGCTGTGTAATTTAAATAACTCAAATGACCAAAAGAAATTATTAAACCTACCTTTTCAATGGCTATTCATAACACTTAAGCATTCTTTTTGAGTAACAAAAAAAATCTAATAGTATAATCTTGGCATGTTATAGGCAGCACACTAAAATACAGTAATCCTGATTATTACTAAGACAAATTTATATTATTATGTAGTACCAGAAGGCTTTGTGTTTACATTTTTTTTTCATATTGCTGGAATGTGTTTTAAAGAAGTCATCATATAAATGAAAAAGGAACATTTTTTTGCCTGCCCTAGAAAGGCAGTGAACAGATTGGGAGATGATGAATTCTCACTGAAATGAAGATCATGTTCTTCAATAAATCCTTCAGGCCTCTAATTTCAACTAATTCTCCTAATTCTCATCAGATCAAGTACATCACTTGCCTATGCACCTCTTTACCCTGTATTCTTTTAGTTGCCAGAATAGGAAGTGTTAAATACTTTAACAGGTACTTCCCCGTAAAAGAGTGAAAAAGATTTAATTCTGATTTTAAGAGAATATTTACAAAATGGTGCAATTTCAGCACATAATTTCCATAGATGATTTTTAGGATTCATATTTCAAAATCTGTGAATAATAACATAGGAAATGTGTTGATGCTTATTAAAAAAATACACTTTTTGCCATTCTGCAGGTGAATCTGGACTTTCACACCAAAGAAGTCACAAGCCAGAACATCAAGCAGCCCATCAGCACCACCTTCAACGCAGCACAAAGCACAGTGTACAAGCTGATGGAGCAGGACAGCTACCCACGCTTCCTAAGATCTGATCTTTATCTAAATTTAGTGAAGGGGAGAAATCCCAGTCGTCCCGCTATGAGGAGACGGTCACGATCTTTTACTGTCAATGAATTCCAGGAGGTGCGATCAGACTTTACCATTTGGTAAAGCCCACATCAGCCCATATGTATTCTAGCTACTGCGGTCATATATGTGACTTAAAACCCTTTTTTTTTTTTTTTTTTTTTGCTGATGTAAATATATGTGACTTGAGCATGGTTACACCCACTCAGATCAGAGTGCTGTAGTCAGTGCTTAAGTTCATTTCTGATAGAGAAGGGAGCAAGACACGTTAGATACAAAGTGTTTGTACAGTATGGTTTTTTTTTTTGAAGTCAAACAAAATTTGCAATTACATTTGGTTGAAGACACTGATATTCCTACATAAAAGTGTTGCTTTAAATGCCAGCTGATAATACCCATCACATATCCTGGCCTTGTGTTAGTTAGAAGAGTTTTGTCACAATGTGGATCTATAGACCCAGCTTTTGCACATAAGTATGTTTGCAATATTTGCTACACTAAGCATAGACTTTGTCGTATTTTCTCATACTACAGAGCGCATCGGAACATTAATTAGGCGAAAAATAAAATGACAAGGATTTTAACTACAGCCACTGCATAAGTAAAATTTATGCTATTGTATAATTTAAAGATAACATAAGAATATCTATTTAATTTTAATAATGGCATACTTTATATTGTTTTCTTCTCACACGTCTGGTTTGTGTATTTAAATTGTGCTGTATAAAATAGCTTTGCCCTCAAATATCTGTATTCTATTTTTTGAAACAAATTGCAGTAACAAGGGGCCAAAAATGCTGTTTTAACACACATTGGCTTGTTAAACATCAGGCCAATGTACATATATGTATATACAGATACATAAAATATATGTACACATTTACTTTCATTTGTAAGGGCTCATGCTATGCTATTTTTATTACTAAAATTTATTCTAAACTTTCTGTGATTCTGAAAGAGAATGTGAAATGTAACAGCTCAGACTATGGCAGAATGACCTTTGGTCTCTCTGTCATTAAAATACTCTCTATGGGGAAATGGCAGGAGGAAGGAAAAATTCCACTTTTATTTCTCTACTACTCAAGTCATGCACACCATTTCTATGTGCAGTATATGCAGTTATCATCTCTTTTTCTTCTGGATTGATGCAGAGATATCTTGAAGTATATGATAGTTGTTAAAATATTAATCATTGGTTAAGTTTCACAGTTGAGTTACTGCAAGCTTTAGTGATAACTGTGATTTGTGTATTCAATCATCTTGCACAGAATTTTCTCTTTTTTAAAAAACCTTTCAGTAAGCAAAGTGAAGCGGCACAGTTCCTGAGGACAGGACTTTATATGTTTATTGCTAATTCAGGGTGTATGTGAACAGCTCAGTCTGAGGGCTTCAGTGTCCATTTTACTAACTTTCAATAAATGCAAAGTGATCTACTTCAAAAGCTGTCAGTTTATTATTAATACATGGGTGAATATAATATGAAGATGAGTTGAAATCATTACTCTTCCAATCAAAACTGTTATTGTAAGCAAAGCGCACGGGTCCTTAGCACTCTGGGGAAGGCTGCTGAGCTGCAGAGACCTGAGATCACAACCATTTGCAAGCCCTTAGGCTGATCTGGGAAGCAAATAGGAAACATATCCAACTCTGGGGACCATAAGCCTTGCTCGCTTACCTCATTACTCTTCCCTGAGCCAAAGGAGCCAAGGCAGAATGCAGAGAAATGACACTTTCTGTGCTGAAGTCAGTATGCTATTTTCTGACTTGATCATTTATGCTTGCTCTTTGGAAGCATTCCTCCAGGAGGTCCCCCTTCCCACTATTTCTCTGTCCCTTAAATATGAAACAGCTCTCCCAGAAATAATCCTGCTTCTAATTAGAAACTAGCAACATCTGGATGTCAGCATGCCTATATATTTAAAATATGCATGTATCTACTGTTTGCATTACTTTTTTAAAAGGAAAAGAATAGACTTCCTCAAAGACTTCCATTCTTTGTGGCATAATCCTGTTACTCAACACCCTCATGCTGCAGAAATAGCTGTTACACTATTTGGGGCATTATTCCCAGCAAGTGTTTCACTCTGAGTCTTTTTTTGCTGCAAATTGAAAGAGAGACTATCTGATGTTCTCCTATTGAGTTTCCTGGCCAGTTCTTCACGCGCATCAGCACACTGGGGCCGTGATCCGGACGCATGCAGCATGTCGTTGGGTGTTGCTGCACCTGACATGTTCTTCTGTGGGTTCACCTGTCCAGACTACATCCTGCCAAGTGCCACATCCTTATCTGATGGCTCCTTTCAGCATTAAGAGCAGGTCTGTTGCAAACACTGGCATAAAATTTAAACTTTGTGCATATATATTGTATACTGTTGAAAAAAGAAAAGAAAAACCACCACCACCAACAAGAAACAAATAGCAAATACAGCACCTTGACTAAGACTTTTTCTTCCTGAACAGAAAATCAACTGTTAGTCAAAAGCATCTGTAATAATAAACACAATAAATACAAACACAGTAATACAACAAATAACATCTGTGGAGATGCCTTTTCTTTCCCATAACCAACACATATGGAAAATTTTGCTTATCTCCAGGGAACCCTTCCTCAAAACCATCACTCACTATTACGGACAGTGCCAGTCCCTTTTGAGAGTTTTATAATGAAAACAAACAAACAAGATATTCTTGGTAGCTCTTTCTGTGTGTGTTGTACAGAGATAATGACGGAGCGTAGCAGAATCCGCAGCGGACCAATGCCATGGCAACATGTGAGAAGGAACTTGAGATAAATCCAGAGAGGAAAGCAGAATGCACAAAGATAAGCTGAAATTACAGCATTATCTGACGAAGAGACTCCCTTTAGTGAGGAACAAATGAAGCCAGAGTCTTTGTTTACAAAATAAAGGGGTCAACTGTCTCTCCTAGTTGATATCTATTGTTTATTATGTTATATTGTTATATATGTATATATATACATATATATATATATATATGTGTGTTATGTTATATTGTTTAGGACTTATACTTAAAGTAAACATAAAAAAAAAACTCTTGATTTTTTTTTTCTTTTGAACAATTTCTTGCAAGTTTAAAATGAACAACAGAAGATGACAAAACCTGGCCTGAGGAATGAAACCTGGTGCCACACACAACCCACGCTGTAGTATCAAGTACAAATAAGTTAGTTGCAAATAATGCAGACCAAAGAAGTCATCAAGAAAACTTCCATCCGGCTCCAGGATCAATTACAAGGCACAGAGTGCTGTGAACAAGAGGCAACTACAATGGCTAAAGCTATGCCTGTTCTAAACAGATATTTCAAGAGTCTAAAAAAGTCATTTTTGCAAGATTGTTTTAGCTAAAAACAACAGTTTCTAAAATATACGACAGATAAAGTGGTAATGATCCCACTCAAGGAAAACCAGAAATATGTTAATAAATGGAGAAAAACACACAGGATAAACATATTTGGGCATCAACATATGTAGGATGGCCACCTGCAAATTCATTTTTCTCAGCATGTGGATTTACTTTTAAAAAACAGATGTTACCTGGACTTTTTAAAATTTATAAACTAAAATACAGGATTTGCAGGAAAGTAGTGGAGAGAACGTGGTGGTCCCTGTGCACTCTAAAATGGTAAAACCAAAGACAGGATCTCCAGATTTAAATGTAGTATGTCCTGATAGAGTGGATATGAAATAGATGCAGTGCACATTACATCTCTTAAAACAGCTCTATAAATTCAACCTAGTCCAATCTTAACACAAGAGAGCCGGTTATTACTGTGAATGGTTTTCAGAAAATATTGTGTTTCCTTAATGTTCTATCTCTCGCTCCTCTTCTCTGCAAAATTGCAAAGATCCTTGTCAACGGTCAGCCGTAATTCTGGTAGATGAACAGATTTATTAAAAGTCTATGATGTTTTTTCTGCATTCAGTTATACAGGTTTGTCTCCTGTTTCCTACTTAGACCTAATCAGACACATTAAATAAGCAAAGCTTTTGTCTTTTGTTCTCGGTTAGTGCTGGAGAGATTGGGCCGTGTAACAGATACTTCCTTTGGCTTTCAGGATTTGTCACTGAGTGAAGGATAACTTGTTTAGTTTTTGAACCGACAGCAAGAAATAAGAGCAATGAAATTTTCCCCCAAAGAATCTCAAAGAAAAGGTCAAATTTCCATCTTCCACTAAGAGCAGACCATCAGGAATGTGTCTCCTCCATTCCCTTACTCACCACAGCCTATAAATGACTCGGAAAAGACATTTCTTTCTCCTCTTTTCACTCCCAGCTGTTCAGTTTGCCTTAATTAACTACTGCTTTGAATACGGTTCCTTCTCCTTTCCATGCATACTGTCAAAAGACATCAGCTAAAAACAAGCACAAAGTCCTCATCCTGTCTTTGCTGGTTCATATGCTTATGCACCCGCGCCTTGCTCAGGTCCCCAGCCTGGGTTCCTCTCCCTTTTTGCATTATAGTCAAATGCCTCAATCAAATGACCTGTAAAGCTTTGTGCCAGAGATATTTATATCTTTGTATCCCCTCTATTCCAATTTGTCTCTTATTAATGTTCTTGTTGCCATCTTCCATTTTTTTAACTCTAATCTTTTAGAGCTGTGCTTGTAGAAGCTCCCTCTACTTTTAAACCACAACTCTTCTTTCGTCTTTTCTAGATTACATCTTTTTGCACGATCCCTCATAGGAGGTTATCCAAATATCTAGATTTGATTTAACCTCAGTAGGGGATCCCCTTCGTCATGGCCACGTTTGATGCAGATTGCTTTGGTGCGGGCACCCTAGGGCAGTCAGGAGGTGCCTTCCCAATAGTCCTGTGCAAAGAGAGGGAACCAAGAACATTGGTTTTCCCTCTCACTCCCTACCTGGCACAACTTGACTTGGTTCAGACCAGCAGCAAGGCAATACCCAAGTGATATGGCGAATTGTGATCTGAAAACCTTTTGAGGCATAACACCTACCTTTCCTATCTCTTTGGGTTTCTGCAATATATATACCTGTTACTAGTAAAAAATCCACAGTAACATCCTATATGTTTGCCTTATAAGGTTTTCTGTGCAAATAGGAAGTCTTCTGAAGCTGGATGCTATATAAATAACCATTCATTCATCCAGGACACTAGCTGTGCTAAACAATCTGATAGCAGCAGTAAAGGGCAATCTTAAAGGTTGCACAGTTTCTTGAGATTTATTTTCCCCCCAGTTCTCTGCTAATGTAGGTTTCCATAGCACTTGGAAATCTTTTATATGAGGTTTCATAGAATGCTACTAAGTATTTTGGCAAACTGAGCTTGAAATCAAAACATTTTACCTGAAGGACATATTTTGCTTGGGTGGAAAATAACAGCTCATTTCCTTATGCAAAACAATTCTGTGGCATGCTGAAGACACACAAAGTTATGCATATGGAAAAAAACAGTATTTGAGAAAAGTAAGGTCAATTTACAAATCTGTGCAGTGCTATTGGAAGGTAGAGGACAGCCATTTCCATAGTGCTGCAATTAAAATGCATTTGCTTCTCATATGTCAGCCAGTTTCATGCTACTAAGATGCCAGCAGCACCCGGATCTTCTTGCTTTCTCCCAGTATAAGAAATTTTCCATTTCAATTGTCTGGACCAACAAAATATTACCTTTTTTTCTGCTGGGTTTATGCGGTCTGAAGCAGAGGTATCTGAGCAAGCCTGGTAAGGGATGAATTCAACAGAACAATAAGATTTTGAACCTGTTTGAGGGGAAACATCAGGAAACCAAAACAGCTACAAGAGAGAGGCTCCTTTTCTCACGTCGCGCTCAGGTGAGTACAAGGCAACACTTTTAGGAACATACATAAGTGAAGATGGTTTCTTAGGTTAATAAATTAATTGAGCAAGAAGAGCTGTTTCAGAGTGTCTATTGAGATTAGCATCTAGCTCAGATGTGGTTTGGGGATCCTGGACAGCTGACAGCTATTTAATTAATCTGTCACAGCAAAAATAACACATGGCTGGTGGGCAAGCAAGGCCAAGGACTTGCTTCAAAGTTCCTTTTCAAACACATATCATCACCTGGTTATAAAATGAACCTTGCAGCCCTTCCTCTCATAAATAGTCTCACAGGAGCTGATAGAACATTTCTCATTGGCAAGGCCTACTCATATATGCTCTGCTGCAGTAGCGATTACCCTGTATAAGAAATACAAGTCAGACCTGCATGGAATTCAAGAATAAATACACTTCTGGTAGCTAATACACTAAAAGCACCGGGGCTTTCTAAAGAATTAAAAGCAAAGTCCCTCTCTAAAAGCACCAAGACCATTGACTTCTTGTGGCGTTATTTGCTGCAGTAACATCAACTGTCATCACTTCTGAGATCCTTACCTGCAGTCTAAACAAAAGAATATGAGAATACACAACCATTTTCTAGGATTTAAACAGTTATTTTCAAGGATTCATTTCAGTCTGGAAAAATTAAGCATCTACATGCAACTTCTTATCATTCAGCTTTGGGATATTTTGTCTGTTTGGGAGAGTTTTTTGGATACTTTTGTGAGCAACAAAATGACTATCCTTTTAAATTAAACTAGGTAAACCCATAATTCTCCCAGATCGGTACCTCATTTCTTTAAAATATAAAGAGCAGAGAGATCACAAAAGCAGAAAACAAATTGTCCTGGGAATATCGTGAGGCAGAGGGGCAGAACGATGGTCCTGGAAATGGTCCTTTGTAAAGGTATCACTGTGCTTCCTACAAGCATCCCAGCACTCACTGGTCCCCATGCATTAAGCCCTGCAAAAATGAACCAAAGAGACAATAACTCTCAAGAGCCTCAAGTGGAAGACATACAAGATGATGGATAAGCTTTGCAAACACCATGTAAGTGGATATAGTGAAGAGTTTGATAGCTACACGCATACAAAATGTGTTTAGTTAAAAAACACTTGCTTACTCTTGGTAGATTAAGTTAGACTAGCTACTATTAAAAAATAAGCATCTTTTTGAAACAGAAACAACCTGCAAGTGTTAAAAGCATTTGACAAAGAAGTTCAAAATTCACCGAAAAGGTCATAAATGGGTTATAAATTTAAAGCTTACTTAAGTTACTAAAACAAACTCTCCATGGTTAATTCCATCAGCTCATAATGTGTCATGAAATACTAGCTAATGATATATTTAGTTTTCATTCATGTTTTCAATATATAGCAAATGTATTTACACTCCTATTTCACTGGTTTGTGTGCATACATATTGTGCATATTTAATTTCCCTTACACATCATTTTCATATTAAACAAACAGGCAGCTACAAAACAATATAATGCTTGCATCTTAGGAGTGTCGGTGAAATAATCTTAGAGCAATGATCATAAATGCAACTGCAGTTAAGTAGTTGTGTTGACACTATCACATAAACTCTTGATAAATTTATAATTAGAGATGGCCATTACTACTGATGCTGACAAATGCCTGTAGGATACACCTCTCCATCTGCTGTATATATTTCAATTCAATAGCTGGCATGAAGATCTTCCCTTAGATGATTTTTTTTCAGCAAAAAAATGACTAAGTTTCACATAAATTGATTTGTGAAGTTTCTTTGGGAACAAGGTTCTATATGTTCTAAACAGGAAGAGTCATATAAATTAATGGTTAATCCATCTGAATTTGTGAAGAAATTCAGTACACGCCCCAGAACACTAGTATTTCCATTCTGTGTCTTAATCATAGTTCAACCATGTGCAAACATAAACACTGTCTTCTGGATGAATAACCAAACTGTCAATGTCAAATAGCAACCTACTCTATGAGTCTGTATGATTCTTTCCACCCTAAACAAGTCTGAGCCATATGTTTTGTTGCCTTGCATATGTACCTAGGGCAGCACTTAAAAATGTCTTGTCCTGCACCCCCAGTGAGGTTGCAAGGGGGGACAGTGAGGATGGTTGCAACAACCATCATTTTCCTCTTGAGCAAAATATCACAGTGCCATTTTCAAGGATAGATGTTGTTTCTACAGGTCAACCACTAGGAAAACTATGGCCTGGTCTGAATCTGTGGACACGCTACTAGCCAATAAAGGTAAGTAGTATGTTAAGAAATACAAGGCTAATACGAAAGAAGTTTCATTTTACAAAGATAATAGTTATTAAACTCAGAGCAATGTATTCTATCTTTCCTAGTTTTTAAATAATGCATTTAGCAGCTATGCTATTTGCTTCTCAGCTAAGAAAAACGTTGTCTTGAAGTGTCCTTGAAACAAAACAGCCTGACACAAGTCAAACTTGACTTTACAGAGGTTAGCGCTCATGTGATGATAGCTATGCAAGCAGAATAGGAATAACTGAACAAATTCGATGCTTGGAAGTGGGGGAGTAGATTCCGATGAGCTTATTTTGGCTATTTATGTTATAACCAACCCACTTCGCTAACATAAGCGTGGAAAAAAGGGAAAAAAAAATTCTTCGTTATTTCTACTACAAAGAAATATACAAGTCTTGTGCACTGATGTTCAGGTGGAGAGCAATCACTTCTAAAAATCCCAGATTGGTCCTTTCTCCAAGAGATCTCATCATCATTGACCTGAAACTCCAAACCCTGCGTAGCTGGTCCAAGCTTCCTTGCACTTGCACCGTTTTTCTATTTCTCACCCCCCACCTGAAGCACACTGAAAGCGTCAAAGAGACCATCTCTCCATCAAAAACTTAACCATCACTTGACAGTAGGCCGAAGTGCTGTTTAGTCAGGTTACCCTCACCCTGGGAAGCAACACTCCAGTATAAGAGTATGATTTAATTTTCAGAGTATACCTTAGACCAGATGGTAGCCTCAAATCACCAGTTGTTTGTCACCTCAAACTCTTTTAGAGACACAAGTCTCCAAGATCCCCCTTTGCACTAGGCCGCGTGTACAGACCCTCTGTGTTGTCCTGGCCCCACCATGTGGCCTTGTCTTTTCCAGACGGCCTGGCAGCTTTTAGAACATTTCTGCGCTCTGAGTTCAGCGAGGAGAACATTGAGTTCTGGCTGGCCTGCGAGGACTTCAAGAAAACCAAGTCCTCTACTAAAATGGTCTCAAAAGCCCAAAAGATTTATTCAGACTTCATACAGGCTGATGCTCCAAAGGAGGTAAGCAGTTCAGATAGGTATTTTGGGTACTCACTGTGGCTGGGAATCAAGCAGGAAGCTGAGAACAAAACTCTTTGAATGATCAAAAATGCAGTTCACGGTGGCTTTTCTTCCGTTCCTGCATCCTCTGTTTGCTGGGGAGAAAGCCGTGAAGCAAAGATGCCTCCTGGTTACACCCAATACTTCCAGTGCAACCTTCGCACCAGCACCGCTTACACTCAGAAATGCTACTTTAAAATTTAAGGAAATGTTTTCAATGTAATTTGTTTTCACTGACTACCATTATAGCACAATATGGAGGAAATTGTGTTCATTATAGATACCAGCATATTGGATATTAATGATCGATATTTATGCATTTGCTTTTAATGTGAATATTAAAATATCAGCTTACAGATATTTCTGTTACAGCAGTCAATCAAGGAACAAATTTGCCAATTAATTATTGATCGGATGTATACTCACAAGCTTGCACATGATGGTTTGCATTTGGTAGTGACTGTGATTAGTATGTCCCTGTGCCCATAGATGATAAAAATTCATTTTGTTGTTATTAAAAGAAAAAAAAAAACTTGCAGATTTTTTTAAGGCATGAGCTTCCTGCTCAGCCAGGACATTTTGAGAAGAAATTCAAATGCTCACCATCATGTAGACAAACAGCAGTGGGTATGACAGCCTCTGTTTAAAAGAGATAAACAGAGGAAAATAGAGCTCTCTTTTCTTTTAGTGATATTATTTCTTTAAAACTAGAGAGCCAGATTAAATTAAGAATTCAGTATACCGGATAATAAAGGCATGAGCTTCCTGCTCAGCCAGGACATTTTGAGAAGAAATTCAAATGCTCACCATCATGTAGACAAACAGCTTTCCAGTCACACTGACATTGACTTTCTGCCTCCTTTTGACCCCCAGATAAATATTGACTTTCATACGAGAAACCACATCTCTCGGAATATCTCCGAGCCCACCCTTGGTTGCTTTGACGACGCGCAGCGGTTGATCTATAGCCTCATGGCAAAGGACTCTTTC